AACTTTAAAACTCATACTATCAAACTGTATATAATGCAGAAATATATTCTATTTCAGAAAAACAAGAAGAATTATATTTCACTTAAATGTTTGACAATGGGTGTAACAACTTTCAAAGTATTATTACTTCAATGAAGTCTATTTATGAATGATTATAAACCCGGATTCTGTAATTCAACTAGTTTGCTTAATCTACATTATTAGCAATAACATGTGAATAGTCGTAATCAATTGAAGTTATGTAGATTTAATTCAGTCTTATAATCATTTATATAATATAAAATATATTTATTTATGTATACTGCCTTTTTATACTAAACAAATTACAATTTTAAACAACCGATAAACAATAATTAACTTTGAAAATATTATCAATCAATGAATACATTGTGTTTAGAATAACAATTTATTTGATTGAAAAATGTATTTATAATAAACAAATGTCCTAGGCGTACGACCACAACAAAATTATTATTATTATAATTATTATTATGCTGTTGTGTATATATATGAAATGGCGTATTGATTATTATTAAATGACATGGTGTGCTATTATCATACGATATAGTATGAACTATGGCTAAATCTCTCGTCTAGTACTCCACTGTGCACAAACTAGGATCACGTTATGCCATTAGACATAGGATTCACGAACAAATATTAGGAAATCAGACCATGGACTAGACAACTCTTAATTCAACACAGTCATAGGCAGTTTCATACACACACACAGCCAGTTCAGAGTAGAAAAGTCAATAAGTTGGAAGGAAGTCATATCTAAAATAATGAGCTGAGTGTCTGTTTATCCACGCTCACTAGCCAACCAATCACAGCTTAATTTCACTAACCACACACATTATATGTTCATCGAAATTGCTAAATGCTATTCTCTAAAAATTCCGCTTCTTAATTGTTGAAAGTGAAGAAAGGTGTATCGAACACTGGTGGGGATAAACTCCACTGTCATTTTGAACTTTGATGTCGTACCTAAGTGACAGTCGGAACGAAGTGAGAATGATTATTTTCATCCCAACAGCTCTACTTTTCACAGTACTCACTAGTGTCCTATTTGCTTAGAAGGTTGTGAACAATGGAAAGTTTTCCATGGCAGAAATATACAATTCATTCTGCTACAGGAACATGTCATGTGTAGTGCAGTCAGTCATGATGAAATAGAAATTAGAGAACAGAAAAAATCATATCTACAATCAATTTTATAATAAAATTAATTCCAAAATATGTACAATTCAGTGATTGAATGAATGAAAACATGGCCGGTGTAAGTGGCTATGATACTTTTAGAGGTAGTGATATCGTGGAGTTCATACATGCTTATTTAAGACTATCTTGAACCAAGTTAAAACTAAAATGCCAAACCATGACCCTTCACAAGCAACAATGTAAAGGAGCTTTTCTATCTACCGTTGGAAGACAGCCTAATAGTTTAGAGGTTAAGCGTTCGAGCGTGCAAATGAAGGTCTTGGGTTTGATTCTGATGTGCGGAGTTCGTGGATGCGCACTGCCACTGATGAATCCCATACTAGGACCAAACAGCAGTTTAGTGCTTCCAGGTTTCCACTGGTAATCTAACAATACTTAATTCATGATTTCAAGGAAACATATACCCAAGCCACCCTTATAACAATTTTAATAGCTTAAACCTTTTCACACATTATTATCATTATAACACTTGCACAAGTTTCGACAAATTTATTGAGCACCCACTCGTGAACTCATACTCTTTAATTTGAGACGATATATTTTACCTTAAATCTGCTCACCTTTTTAGGTTACTAATTTGAATATGCAATCGTAGAACTTGATGAGAATATTCTTCGTTCATTTATATAAGTGTTTTAAAATGATGAGAATTTCTCAGCGATAAGTAATAGTGTGTCCGAAAAAAGGCTAACCATTCGTGTAGAAAATCTTGAAGCAATTAAGATTAATGTAAGATTTGAGTACAAAACGTATTTACATTATGGGGTTGTGGAGATTGTTGAGTTACTCATTAAAATCATGAACCAATCAATGTTGGATCACCATTAGAAACCTGAAAGCACTGAAAGAAGGCTGTTTTGTCTTATAGTATGGGACTCATCAGTGGTAGTGAGCATCCACGATTCCAGCTACTCGTAGGATTCGGAACCAGGACCTTCGGTCTTGAGCGCGACGGTCTAATATCCGAACTATTGAGTCGATATCTAACGGTGTTAATGACTAATTTCAATCGATTCACGGTCTTGTGTAACCTCATACACTGTGTTAGGTAGTTACTGTCTACACCTGAACAGGTTTGAACTGTGTCTCAGTTGTTCAGAGTTTAGGTCTTCGCGCGCAAGACCGAAAGTCCTGGTTTCGAGTCGAGTATGCGCACTACTTCTGATGAATCCCGTAGCAGGATGAAACGTATATCTTTCTGTGCTTTCAGGTTTCTAATGGTGGTCTAACATTGATTGATTCATGATTTTAGTGAAAACTTATTTAGTCTAACATAATTTATTGAGTATGGAGACAATCGATACATCATCAATGAAACAGATAACATCCAATCTTCACCGGTTTTTTCAATTGTTTCACTGATAATAAAGTACTTTTTGAAAATGTTTCAAACTGAAAAAGGTCAAATTGAAATAAGATGATTATGGAACTAATACTAAGCCAGGTTTGAAGATAGAAATAATGAAGCAATGAGAAACAACAAAAGATATTTTGATGTGTGCTGTATTATTTTATTATACGCCGTCTGTAAAGAATCAACATCTCCGATTAGCAGAAAGTACTCAACTGCATCACAAGGCAAGCACTAACTTGGAATCGTCAAAGCGAAGGAAAAGAGGAAGACTACAGAACACATGACCTCGAGGATTGGAGACAGAAATGGTAAGGACGAATAGCAGTTGGTTAGAACTGAAAAGGCAGGTTCAGGACACAGTAGGTTGGAGAATGCTTGTCAGCGGTAACAGGTATAAGTAAAGAGATAACATTTAGTTATGTTCCTAATTCATCATCTATTCAAAAAATGGCTCAGATTTAAACGTTTATTCCATTGAATATCACTGAATTGTTCTCATTTCTTGTGCGTTGTGGTCATGTTAATTATCGATTTATTCAATGGTTTTGTGAGTTAGTTTGAATCAGAAATAAATTGGATAACATTTCGAGCCGAATAGTTTTTTCCTTCCTCCCTCTTACCAACCGATCAAGTTATAGGTTGGATAATTTTCTTCTTTCTTCCGTCAAGGTCGTCCGATCACAAACTGAACTCAAGCGTTGAAAGTCTCAAGGTTGTATCAAGTAATCTAGCAAGTGAAGGACGTAATTTGAAACAACTCTCTCCCTGCATGTAAAGCACAGACTAGTAGGCAGACAGATCAAAGGCTTAACAATATCGATTTTCATTGCGCAGTTAATTAAATTTCCAGATCGATATACTTTTATATATTACCCTATTTATAAGTTTTTTATCTAACTGAATAACTGTCGATATGTGTCATATTGTTTAGGAATTATTGTAATTTATTAACTAATAACCGGTCGCTTTATTTTATATCATTTAGTTTAGTTGTATGCAGATTATGATTAACATTATAGGGTTGTGGAGACTGTTGAGTTTCTCATTTAAATCATGAATCGATCAATGTTAGATCACCATTAGAAACCTGGAATCACTGGACGGCAGTTTCGTCCTCGTATGGGAGTCATCTGAACGAAACTGCCATCCAGTGCTTCCAGGTTTCAAATGGTGACCCAACGTTGATCGATTCATGGTTTCAAAGAATCTATGCTTTGTTATTTGTGCTACCTTGTGGTCAGGTAACTGATGCTTATTATCTCATGAGTTTCCAATCATAAAGATAGGTTCATCATTTTGTTGGGTTCCATTTCTGATTGGTTGTTTTAAAGGTTGGAAGTTTAATTGTGAACCAATAGGAATGCAGACATCCGCTATCGTGACTCACGCTCCTTTTTATTGGTCAAACTATTTTAATATTGAAAACGATTACTGGTTTGATACCCGTATTTCGTGGCTCAATGAATGAACATGTAAGAGAATTGGTAGTCATAATTAAAAGAACGATAAAATGTAGTGCTATGCTCACTTGAATACAACACAGAAATTACCTTATACAAAATAAGACTTCATTAAAATGTGTCGACATATCCATGAGTTTGGCACAAAAATACATTTTGAGGAATTAGTAATTTTCGCAAATTTCTTCTTAAGGTTTAATAACTTGCAGTTAAAGTTTTACTAGTTTATACAACATTTGATATTTTCTTCAACAATAAACATGTCCAACAGAATGAGTATTTCATAGGTTACCTTACATACTGACCTTAGTTAGACAAAGATTAATAGCATTATAGGGTTGTGAAGATTCTTACGTTAATCATTTATATAATGAATCGATTAATGTTAGACCACTCCTATTATAAACCTGGTAACACTGGAAGGCCATTTCGTCATTGTATGGGACTCATCAGCAGTGCACACCCACAACTCCTATCACTCACCCCACGAATTTCGGTCTTACGTGTGAACACTAGGTAGCACTGAACATCAGATTCATCTGAGTATCGTATTTATCACCAGTGCATATCAAAAACTTGAGCACCGATAGAACATAGAAATTCTATTCATTTAAAATGTCTAACGTGAACTAATTTTCCATATTACTTGACTACCTAATGCAATCAGTGAGTAGCTGACACACAAATGACATAATTGAATGGTTTCTCTACAGAGCTATATTTGATCCCTTATGAGAACATGGAAAAGAGCTGATGAAGAGCCTCAAACTAGGGCGAAACAACTGTTTAGTGTAATCTTTTTCGGCCTTGCAATTTAAGCACTGTGAATTGTCAAAAGTATCATAAAATAATGTTTTGTTAATATCAGAAAAGAAATAACCCTTGAATGCCCTTGCCGTCCTGGAACATGCACACACATATACACACACACAAGTCATCACAAAATATCACTTGTCATTACTTACCCCATCCAAATAATGCATATGGCCAAAATTTCATTTTTTCAATCCAAAATGCACAATAAACAATTAGGCATAAATACAAACCTTCAATAAACATCCAAACAAATATAGCCAATGAACCAAATGCTTGTATTGATATGGTCACATTTAATATACTCTAAAATAGAAAAATATAAATAGAATACATGTTTTTTTTCAAATTAAATAATCAATGTTGATTATTAAAGGAGAAAAACAAACAATTAAATGATCAAGACAATCTTATTATAACATTCTTACAATTAAGCTAACCTAACATTAACGTTGGTTATTGACACTTGAAACTGATATGGCGATAGAGAGAAATCAGTAGGAAGCGCTAGAATTAGTGAATAGAACACATGTTGAGGAAAGCACTCAAATGTGTCACAAGACAAGTCCTAACTTGGAATCCTTAAGGTTATAGGAAAATTGAGAAGGCCAAGGAACATATTACGCTGAGAAATGAAGACAGATATGATAAGAATGAACAAAAATTGGATAGAACTAGAGACAAAAGACACAGGATAGAGTAGGTTGGAGAATATTGGTTGGTGGCCTATGCTCCATTGGGGGTAACAGGCGTAAGTAAGTAATATGGAACGTACGCACATCAGTTCAGGTTGCCATACCGCATTAACACAGAGACTCAACTGTCAGTTGAATTCAATAGTGGTAGCGATAGTAGAAGTATTAGCAGTAATGGAGAAAACTAGGGTTCGAAGATTTGATTCGAGAAGTTTAATTCGGCGAGATAAATTTAGAAAGCGAAAGACAGAGATGATCAAGAATGCAGAAGGTTAGAATTTGAGAGAACACAAAGAGTGGATGCACTTGCGCGACTGTAAACGATTTTGAGCCATGTCACTCAATGTCTCTAACCATTGGTGACTTTCGTCTCGCAGACCCCAACCAGGTAGCCTACATAGCCTACTTCATCTAATGATCTGCCATCCTTACCTAGTACTCGTTTCCTAACAACAGCATTGCTTACTCGGCTGTCCCAGAATATACGAGCAATGCTTCGGAAACATCTATAATCGAATACTAATAACCTACGAATGTCTTCTACTCTTATTGGTCATGTTTCGCATCCATATATCAGAACGGAGCAAACTGCTGTTCAGTACTCTCGTCCTTTGGTTAGCAAACGGATATAACGCCTACGCCGTAGGTGACGCAAGTTGGCAAAAGCCAATTGAGCTTTCTGTATCCGTGCTGAGATTTCGTCAGTCACCAGGTCATCAGCACTGATGAAACTCCCAAGATGAAAGAAGCGGTCTACACGCCCAACTACTTCACTCCCTATCACTAGTTCAGCGGGGTTTCAGGAGACTAAGAATAAAGTTTCGTGAACTTGTATCGTTTGCATTAGCGGTACGGGGTGATAAAGAAATGTGAGAAGAGTTAGTCGAGAAGATAAGAGAAATGCTGGGGGGGTGTAGGAAGGATTTGTTTGTGACCGAATCGGTCTCGCATGCTGGTACAGGCTGCCCACATCATTATGTATGTAATAATAATAATAATAATAATAATAATAATAATAATAATACTATTAATAAAAGTTCAATAGTTAATTTTTAAACACCATCATAATTAACTGTTATGTATTGTCATTAGCAACGATAATGCCGGTGATTTAACACGTTTTGTTGTATAAGAAGAAAAAAAACATTATAATTTGTGAAAATCATTCAATATATTCGTTGTTTTTATCTGATGTTATTATGCTGGATGATTTTTATTATTCTTTTGTGTTTTTTGTTTTTTCTTGTTGTTGTTGTTGTCGTGAATAAACCACTTGGTGTAGCAACCAACACACAACACATTACGATTGTTTGATTATGTTTTATTTAAAACATGTTAAGTAGATAGATAGATAGATGTGTGGATAGATAGATAGATAGATGTGTGGATAGATAGATAGATAGATAGAAAGATAGTTAAAAGTAGATAATATGAGATCTGATTTAATTTATTGTTTAGTGTTAATTAACACTCATTATAATAAGATGTAACTCCGCCAGTAGAACCTTCGGGGCTACTGCCGGTCCCAAGCCTGGATAAAGGAGGGGAGTTGGACATGGGGTTGGTGACCCCATTCCGCCGAAAAACTAACTTGCCAAAAAACGCTAACCAGAAAAAATAATTCAAACCATTTTAACTCTGCCCTGGGAGTTGGAAGAAGAATTATGACGTTGCGTGATGAAAGCCGAGTTCCCTCGGAAGTCACGGGGCCGATGGTTATTCTGACAACCAGAGCAACCATAATAAGATGTATTTGTAATGAAAGTTATTTGTAGCCAAAATAGTTTTGGTGATAATATTTAAATATTAAACAACTAGGAAATAGGGTTATTCGTTTATGGATGGTAGGATGATCCGTTCGTGTACTTGATTTTGCTTCCATTGTTCGAAAATGGTTTATTCGTATTCGAACATTGCAATCTGATTGATTGGTAGGACCATTAGAGTTCAACCCTGTTCAGGTGTAAACAGTAACTACCGAACACAGTGTATGAGGTTGCACAAGATCGCGAATTGATCGAAATCAGTCATTAACACCGTTAGATACCGACTCAATAGTTTGGATGTTAGACGTTCGCGTGCAAGACCGAAGGTTCTGGTTTCGAATCATGCCAGTAGCTGGAGTCGTGGATGCACACTACCACTGATGAGTCCCATACTATAAGATAAAACTACCGTCTTTCAGTGCTTCCAGGTTTCTAATGGTGATCTAACATTGACCGGTTCATGATTTAAATGAGTAATTCAACAATCTCCACAACCCCATAATGTAAATAAGTTTTGTACTCAAATCTTAGATCACACTTAATTGCTTCAAGATTTTTTACACGAATGGTTAGCCTTTTTCGGACACACTATTACTTATCACTGAGAAATTCTCATCATATTGAAACACTGATATAAATGAACGGCGAATATTCTCACCAAGTTCTACAATTATATATTCAAATGAATGATCTAAAAAGTGAGCAGATTTAAGGTAAAATATATCGTTTAAAATCAAAGAGTATGAATTCAGGAGTGGTTGCTCAATAAATTTGTCGAAACGTGTGCAAGTTTTATGATGATAATAATGTGAGAAAGTTTAAGCTAATAAAATTGTTATAATGGTAGCTTGTGTATATGTTTCCTTGAAATCCTGAATCCAGTATAATTAGATTACCATTGTAAACCTGGATGTACTGAAAGACGGCTTTTTCGTCCTAGTATGGGACTCATCAGTGGCAGTACACACCCACAACTCCCGTTACTTGCAGGACTCGAGCCCAGAACCCTCGGTCACGCGTGTGGACGTTTAACCTCTTATCCACTGTGCCGGTATCGAACAGTGTTAATGACTAATTTCTACCAGTTTATGGTCTAGCGCAACCTCATACACTTTTGAAAGCTGATGGTCTATTATTGATCGATTCATGATTTCAGTAACAAAATTCACAACCCCATAATTCAATTACCTGGGCTCACTAGTGACTAGCTCCATGAGGAACGTTCTTCGAGTTCTAGCGAGGAGGGTTACTACCCCGTAATTCAGGTCTCATATTGTTAGAAAAATGAAAATTTCGCTATTTCGAAAAAATTATCTCCCGACATGAGACAGAAGGGTAATAAGAGTGTTTGAGCCTATTAGCGTCAAGCTGGGCTGCATCTCTTATTATCCTATGCAACGCTATGTGTATACCATAAGCTATATTGCTGCCATGTAGAGCTGAAGTTTTACTATGAGACCAGAGGTTCTTTGTGAACATTGTGGATGGCTTATCATTACTTTGGAAAGTATTGCTCATAGTCCATATCCAAATTTGGTTAACAGGATAACCGATTTCATTAATACTAGTGTATGTCTTGCAACAATCCCGAGTTCATTTGTCATTGGGGTACTGTATTGCGTATCACCATTGATAATAATAATGAGCTTGACAGTCATGTAGGCTGAATGGGTCATTTGGCTTGTTCATGCTGTGCATACTGATTGACCGGAATAATCACTATATATGTACTAGTGTATATAAGTGGTGTGAATTGTCTAACAGGGTGTCGAGTACCTTTGTGGTTGCTCCACGGCATTGTACCTAAATGTTCACGTTGTAGTGTTAACAAGTGGGCAGTCTTCTTGGTTCTCCTGAAAACCAACGTAAAATTACTCTTGCCAATTGAGGGTTGATTTAAAAAAAATAATAATCATGAATGTTATGGAGATTTATGTTTCTCAACTCTTACTTGTATTCGATGAAACTCGACTATCTTCATAATCTTATACTGATAGTTAACACCTACTTACTAGTGACTAGCTTCAAGAAGGAATTCTCATGACATCTCGTCGCTAGCTTAGTTCAAATGTGTCGAGCGTAACGCAGTTATCAACTGAACACAATAGATGTTGGTTGTGAAATATCATGAATTGATTGAAGTTCAACATTAACACCGATGGATACCGTCTGATTGATCTAGAAATTAAGCACTCGTGAGCAATACCGAAGGTCTTAGGGTTCGATTTCCTTGTACGGGTGTTTGAGATGCTCACTGCTTGTGAGTTTCATACTGGAAGGAAATAGCCGTCCAGTATTTGCATTTTCCTGATGATGATGAACTAAAATTGATCCACTTATAATAATCACAATCAGACTCAACTTCCGAAACCCTATAATGATATCACTTAAATTAGTGATCAATTTCTACTGAAAGCTGTTAGTTATTAACTCATATAACGATGATAAACTGAGTTCCTTGTGAAAACATTATCAGTTAGAGTGTGAATGAAATATATATGTAACGAATGAATTTATTTCCAATTGTGTTTGTGTAAACATGTATTCACATCCTATGAAAGGATTGTAGTGTAGTGAAGGAGAACACAGGTGGGGCAACCGGATTGTATTTAACGAAAATTACAGAGTTATCAGTAAAATAGGAAAACCATATCGTCACCGTTAATTTGCAAATCTTCAATCAATCATCAATCCATTGTCTGACATTTCACTTATTCATGCGTTTCATACAAATTTCATTGTGTTCCCACTCTTCCTTTCTTGATCTTCCCCCATCTTCTGCTGCCAGAAATTACGTTTACACTAGCGTCATATACTACTTATAAGTAGCTCGCACCACAGTAGA